GAAGACCTAACTGTGTGTTTTGTGAACTATGTGATTCGTACGAAAATGTACGAAAAAGATTGTACAAATCCAAAGAAATTGGCCACCAATTCGCCAAAACATAACATATTTACAAATAATGTTTCTTGACAGAAAATAACTCGCATGTGTCTCCTCTAAAGCTTCAGAAGATATCTCGACAATTTCTCAAACTGCAAAAAGAAAACTGTCTAAACTAACTTGATCTCATGAGAAAACGTAACTATTTTACAAGCCGGTGATATCGTATGAATTTGCAAAGTGTGATTTCAACAGAAACATGCAATTTTAAGAAAAAAAAACATATGCAACCGTCAGTGCGGCATAAGCAGATTTTTGTACGAAAACGTACAAATAAGATTGTACAAAATTGCTAAAACCTAAAATGGTTATGAATAACGTTTCTTGAGAGAAAAAGAGAGACACTTGAGAGACACACATCTCTTCTAAAGCTTCAGAAGAGATCATGACAATGTCTCAAATGTGAAAATAAACAAACAATCAAATAGCCCAAATCTCAAGTCCACACCACAACTATAACGAAAATCACAGAGGAATGATATACAGTTAGCATCACTTTCAGAGTGCTAACTGTAAATTAAACAATTTACAGCCAATCAGAATCCATCCTTCTTTAAAGAGCGCAAAACATTTAAAGCGGTAGACGATAAAACTGCAGCACGCACAAGATAAACAGAGCATTTTTGTGTGTTGATGTGGACGCTAATATAGTTATCGTTCTTTGTGTGAGCAGGCCTTTAGCCTCCAACTGGTCGAAATATTAAGTAGTTATGACCTACCACGAGAGTGTGTTGATCAGTCTGCAATCAGAATTCAGAAATCTCAATGTGTTCTCAAACATTTCTCATACCATACTCTTCCAAGACCAAAATTGCCATGAGCTGACTTGTTTTTGGATAATGTCATTTTAAATATTTTGTGTGATTCTTTTCATTTTCTTTAATTAGAAACCTTTAAGATCATATTGAGTGACAAACGGATTGCAAAAACCCATTAAAAAGGCTGAAATCTGTTCGCAATCATGGCAGCCCTGCTGAGATAACAGCCTGAGGTGGTTAACTAGTACACCAGCCGGGCCAAGCTGTTACGTCTGGTCTGTTTTGATGGTTTTAGACGGTTTTGGGACACTTGTCGTCTTTGCCACCTTAGGCTGTTATTTCAAAAAGGAGTAAACTTTTTCAATGAGCCTCATTCGGGCCCCAAATGTAATTGTGTGAGTTTTACTATGAATACATTTAGAAAATAAATCAAAACATAACTAATTTGGGGGCATCATTTAAGAATTCTTTATAATATGTGGAGTGAATATGGATCACTTTCAGTCATCACAAGCAACCCAACTCATTTCTGGCAACTAATTGTGAAACCAAATGCTAAGACTTCCCTCTGCTGGTGAAAACAGGCAACAGCACTAGGTCACACACAAGTCTATTGAGATGCGCTGCCACAATCTGTCATGAAATGATGGATGCTCTGAGGCCGAATCAGCTGTATTACAAATCTCTTCACACACACACTCACACACACACACACACACACAGTCCTTGCGCTCTTGACGAGTCGTCTTATTCTCGCTGTGTGACAGAAGGGTAAGCAGTGCAGATTTAGGCCGGTGAAGGCAGTTTGTGTGTGGGCCGTCGCCTCAAAAGAGAGAAAATACAGACACACTCCAGTTCAGTTTATTCAAGAAAAGGAGTTTAAGTGTTTTCTGCATGCAATCCTCACAAGTCAAAGTATGCGCACTGTAAACAACAGCTGTTTGAAACACTGTCAAGAGTAAACAATTAGAGATACACTTACATTCAACACAGATTCTCTGAAAGCAAGTGTTACTAAATGTCACAAAGAACATACATGGGAAACACAATGTAAAATAAAGTTATTGCATAAAATCAAAGTCTATATACTTGTGTAAAAGATTTTCAAGCACATTATAATCATTAATCGTTAACAATAACGCAAGGCAATCCATAAAAATCCACATAGTATCACTTTAACATCTTGATTGTTTCTCCTAGAAATGAGAAATTAAACTGTAAAAATAATTTTATATATTAATATAAAATTATATTTTAACTATGGAAGATATTTTTAAATATTTAATTCTAATATATATA